CATGACCTGAGCCGAAGGCAGACGCTTAACGACTGAGCCACCCAGGCGCCCCAAGAATAGTGTTGCTTCTATTGCTTTGTTTGTAATGCACTTTTTGTGGTAGAGCTTTAAGTTCATTTAATATATTGATGTATTCAGCATTTGATCTAAGTTTAACCTTGGAAAACTGATCAACATAAAGATAATTTGCATGTCTTTCTTTTATACATACACACATTTTCTTTCACTGTTCAAATAAGGAGCTTGAGATTTAACTTCTCTTTTTTTCTTCCTTAAATTTTCTAGTATTATGAATTCCTTTGTTATCGTTCTCTTCTTGTCTGGGATGGTGGCTATGATTCTATTAAGAACTCTCCATAGAGATATTATCAGATACAATCAGACGAATTTTTCTGTAAGTAAAAATGCACATATTTGATTCAGTACATATTTGAATGCCTATGCTGCCCAGTTGTCAATGTTATATTTGTACTTAGAGTATAAAATACCTTGAAAACAGCACATTTTCGATGTTTAGTCGTTTTGCCCATTATACCAAATCAGAAGTTATGGGATTGTGTAGATTTTTAAAAAGTACAAGTAAGTTTATTAGAGAAGTATTTGTTATCAACTCTGGTTCTATTCCTTTTTATATGTTTCTGAACTTTCAGGGTATTATTATTTAAGGTTTTCATTAATTTGAAGCATGAGATAAATGTACCAAACATTGCCAAATGCTATCATTTAGGTTAAATTTAGTTTTATCTCATTTATACTATTTTGACTCTTATAATCATTTGCGTATTGGTGAATTTTAAATGTCTATAAAATTGGTTGAATTCCTTCTGTATGTCAAATGATTTTGCTTTCTTCATGGAATTAAGCCAGGTGTGTGCCCTATATGATGAACACATTCCCCCCAGTGCAAACCTTGGAGTAAGGGAGCAACTTATTTTACGACAGGATCACATACCTTCCAGAGACCCGCTGTATCCAAAATGAGCTATTGGTTTCCAGTTAATCTGTCTTTAGAGTAAAATTCATTTTCGTCTACCTTTCAGAGTTTCGGTAACTTTCTGTCATAGTGTGTGTTTATCAAAGACTTTCTTATGTGCAGGAAGAGGTCCAGGAGGACTTCGGTTGGAAGCTGGTTCATGGGGATGTATTCAGACCTCCAAGGAATAGAATGCTGCTCTCAGCTTTCCTGGGTCAAGGAACACAAGTTTTGATTATGACGTTTATTACCTTATGTGAGTAGGCTCAGATCAATAGGTGTCATCTTAAACATTCTTAGTCAACTGCTGACCTATGTTAAATTTTGATCCATGTGCACAAAAGGACTTTGAAAATACCCTGAAGTTTAAGAAAATGATGTTTTCTAGTACTTACATTTCCATCTTCTCAAATTAAGGAGAGGAATCTGAATATGTTCCTATGTCAAGGACCTTTCATGGCTTCTTCAGTTCTGAATAATTTATTGTAATGTCCAATACATATATTCCTCGCTTTGCAAAATAGATGCTTTCTTTTTTTTTTTAAGATTTTTATTTATTTATTTGACAGAGAGAGACACAGTGAGAGAGGGAACACAAGCAGGGGGAGTGGGAGAGGGAGAAGCAGGCTCCCCGCCGAGCAGGGAGCCCGATGCGGGGCTCGATCCCAGGACCCCGGGATCATGACCCGAGCCGAAGGCAGACGCTTAACGACTGAGCCACCCAGGCGCCCCAAAATAGATGCTTTCTTGAAAATCAGCATGTGGGTAGAAGCATATTTAATACGTGGACTAAGGGAATTCATAATTAACCACTAGCATTTTGAAATGCTATGGCAAGCCTAGGCGCTGGTCTTTAAATGTATAAACACAATGGCATCTTTAGTAGTCTTTTAATGGCTGATAAACCCTGGCTGCCTTCATTTATAAAGTAAAAAATGGAGCTTGTCAATTTTTGATAGCCAGTGCTGATTTTCGTAAACAAAGCTGCTGTTAAAAAAAAAAAAAAAAAGGAAGGCTTATTAGGTGTTTCACGTGTCAATGATAATTTCAAAATTCAGCTCTTAAGGTTATATTTTCCTGAGACCAAGTCTTGCTTTGATTTTTTTATTCCTCACCTTGAATAAAGGGAAGCAGAAGGAAATTTTTGTGGGGAAAAATGAGTTGCTGTTTAGGGCGTGATCCTGGAGTAGGGAAGGGGGATTTAGTTTGTTTAATTTTGATTTAAGCAGTGAGATTAAAGACTAGACCCCACTTGGAAACTGATTTCATGTGCCCAGTATTGAAAATCACACCTTTTCGTTAAGAAAAAAATTGTCATTAGCTAAGTGAATAACAGTCATTCACAGTGTCACTTAAGTACTCACACCGCAGAATTTCCTCATGTGCTGTTACCCATAATGTGTCTTAATAAGCAGGTCTTTATTATAAAGTCTTGCATGCTTCTGGGGCTGTTATTGTCACTGCTTTGATATTTCTTTTTTGTACCTTTAGTTCTGGCTTGCTTTGGTTTTCTTTCCCCCGCCCATCGAGGGGCCTTGATGACCTGTGCCGTTGTGTTATGGGTCCTCCTGGGAACCCCTGCTGGATATGTGTCGGCTAGAATGTATAAGAGTAAGCATTGCAACTATTACCATTCCAGTTAGTTGGTGTGTTAAACGTAGACATTAAGAGGCCGTAAAAGAAAACATTTAAAAATTGCATGGGGCATTTTAGCTGGCCTATCAAAATGTAACTGGGCCCTGGGTATAAAGTAGTTGAAAAGTGGACTAAATAAGTTGCTACAGTAACTATTTCTGTCTTTTCCTTCCTCAGCATTTAAAGGTGTTAACTGGAAGACAAATTTTTTGCTGACAGCACTATTATGTCCTGGGTTAGTATTGCTCGTTCTCTTTTCCCTACACAATTATACTCTTTCTTAGACTTGCTCTTGGAAAAAAAATCACTGTACCCGACAATGAGGAGTAGAAAGGAGATGAGCGACCAGTGTTTTCTGTAGCGCCAGCATTCTCTCTCTGTGGTATCTGCATTCCTTTCATCTTTTTGTACATCGTAACCTCTAGTACAAAGAGACAGCCGTGGTGCCGCTGTGTTCGATTTTGATCTTTGGTTTGGAAGCAGATTTCATAGATGCGCATCTCAGTTATATAGCTTGTGTTATATATCATGTTAGAATGGCAATTTCCGCTCTACCTTGTGGTGTTCCCCTTGTCACTGGCTTCCGGGATCCTTTCTTCCTGTCTCCCCTAGGTCCTGCGGTGTCATTCGTGACTGCAGCTTCCAGGTAGCGTCATGGTCCCTGTGGGAGTGGGCGGGGCTGTGCTGTGGCAGGCCAGTAGCTCCCTCCACCCCCTCATTATAGAGATGTGGGGTTGGCGGCCAAGCCAGGGAGCAAGTGTTTGAGGTCACACGGGAAGTCGGTGACAGAGCCCAGGCTATACATAACTGAATGTCCCCCCGGCATCCCGTCCAGGGCTCTTCCCACAGAACCTCACTGATGAGGTGCTGACTCACTTTGGGTTTCTTTCTTTCTTTTTTTTTTTTTTTTGAGATTTTGTTGGAATTCTTTTTTTTTAAAGATTTTATTTATTTATTAGAGAGAGATTGAGAGAACGAGTGGGAGGAGGGGTAGGGGGAGAAGCAGGCTCCCCGATGAGCAGAGAGCCCCACACGGGACTCAATCTCAGGACCCTGGGATCATGACCTGAGCTGAATGAAGGCAGAAGTTTAACCAACTGAGCCAGACACCTGGGCGCCTGGGACTTTGGGTTTCATCTCCTTAGTTAGCCTGGGCTACCATAACAAAATACCATAGACTGGGGTGGGGGACGCTTAAACAATAGAAATTTGATTTCTCACAGTTCTGGAGGCAGGGATGTTGGAGATCAGGGCACCAACAGGGTCGGTCCTGGTGAGAGCTGTCTTCCTGGCTTGCAGATGACTGCCTTCTTACTGTTTCCTCACATGGCAGGTGGAGACGGTGAACTCTCATGTTCCTTCTCAGGAAGGCACCGATCTCGGGACACCTGGGTGGCTCAGTAGTTAAGCGTCTGCCTTCGGCTCTGGTCATGATCCCAGGGTCCTGGGATCGAGCCCCGCATCGGGCTCCCTGCTCCTCAGGGGGCCTGCTTCTCCCTCTCCCACTCCCCCTGCTTGTGTTCCTGCTCTGGCTCTCTCTCTCTCTGTCAAATAAATAAAAATCTTTAAAAAAAAACAAAACACCAATCTCATCATGAAGGCCCTACTCTCATGACCTCATCTAAGCTTAATCACCTCCCAAAGGCCTCACCTCCAAATACCATTACATAATGGATTAGGGCTTCAACATATGAATGGGGGGGGACACAATGCAGTACATAACACGTTTCATTTCTAATATACTTTCCTTGATATGTTATAAAGGACAGTTTTTTTTTTAAGATTATTTATTTGAGAGAGAGAATGAGAGAGAGAGCACATGAGGGGGGGAGGGTCAGAGGGAGAAGCAGACTCCCCGCCGAGCAGGGATCCCGATGCGGGACTCGATCCCGGGACTCCAGGATCATGACCTGAGCCGAAGGCAGTCGCCTAACCAACTGAGCCACCCAGGCACCCAAGGACAGTTTTTTTAAAGGAAAAAGTAGTGGATTATGTCTTAATTGTCATGTGGTACTGTAATTCCTATTTGTTACAAAGTTCCCACATCTGTGATGCTAGGAGTATGTTGCAATAGTGGAAGAGGTCCCACAGTGAAAGTTATACATAGTAAATTCAGTTGCGTTATGTTCTGATTAGTGACAAAGTGAGAGCAAATGCTTTAATAATGCTCTGTGACTGTGTGTCATGCAATAAATCATGCAATGCAGTGATGGGTTCTGTAGACCCATAATCATTCATCTCCATGTGGCTGGTTTCCCTCCAAACTCCAGGGAAAAAGATTAGATCATTGAAAGGATTGAACATTACAAGTTTGCACATCAAATACAGGAACCTCATAATTTTTGACTTATTTAAAATAAGGACAATGCACACCCCTCCCCTTCCCCACCTTGAATAGAGCCATCTGCTTTTCCTATAACTCTTTTCAAGGGAACTAGAATGGGTGGTCTTTTCTGAGGTGAATGCTTTATTACATTTCTGTAAGAAAGCGACGTCCTTGACAATACTTCAGATATTTGTTGCTTCAAGTTCAAGACTCAAATGAATCCAAAACTGAATAAATTTGGCAATGAAGTGCCATTGTGCAAAAGTCATTACACTGAATTGTAGTACAAGGGATATTACATGCAAGAGTCAGTCAATAAGCCATTCACTATTCTCTGCATTATTTAGTTACTCATTCAACATAGTTATTGTGGTATTTTTGGTTTTGTTTTGTTTTTGTTTTTACTATATTTAAGGCATTATGCGAGGCACTATAGAGGAAATAAATACAAATTGCCCCTGAATCTTTGCCTTCGTGGCTCAAGATGAATAATAGTGGCCCATTTTTCATCACACAGATGTTCCATCTAACTGCAATAATAAGTTACATCATTGAAATAGAAGATGTAAAAGAATTAGAATATACCATATCACTAAGCTTGATTAGACAAATTAAACAATTAATGTCTGAAAAGCATGAGCATTTGCAGTGCACTATGAGCGGTTTTCATCATGTTTTCTATGGGATCAATTTTGAAGAATGTTTTACACAGAAAAATTTAAAAATTTGAGTAGAAATCCATAATAACATGGCTCAGGTTTACATGGACTATGAAATGATGCAGTGTCAAGCCACGGTTTTGTAAAAGTAAAAAAAAAAAAAATTTAAATTTGAAAAGCAAATTTAAATAATGGTGGTTGTGTCCTGGGTGGGTTTTCGGGTGGCTGGGGGACAGATGCGTGAAGGAGACTGTTTATATCAGACTTACTTTTCACTCTTTTTTTTAACCTTTTGCATCATATACCATATGCATGTGTTATCTATTTTTATTTTATTATTTTTATTATTATTTTTAAGTAAGCTCCACGCCCTGAGATCAAGACCTGAGTTGATATCAAGAGATGCTTAACTCACCGACCCACCGAGGCGCCCCACCTATTTTTAAATAATTTCATTATAAACAACAATAACAACTCATAACCATATATTAAAGTGGAGAGGTAGTGATAGAAGCTACCAGCACAGGCTTTATTTTTTTATTTCTTATTTTTTTAAAAGATTTTATTTATTTATTTGACAGAGAGAGACACAGCGAGAGAGGGAACACAAGCAGGGGGAATGGGAGAGGGAGAAGCAGGCTTTCTGCCGAGCGGGGAGTCTGACACAGGGCTCGATCCCAACACCCTGGGATCATGACCTGAGCCGAAGGCAGACGCTTAACGACTGAGCCACCCAGGCGCCCCTAACACAGGCTTTAGAGTCACACACACACACACACACGCGCGCGCGCGCGCGCGCGCTCCCATGCACACATACCCTACACTCCGCACATGCATAGCAGTTCATTTCCCAGTTCTGCCTCCTTCTAGTTACCAGGCCTTGAGCAAATTGTGAATAATGCTGAATGAACATAGGGGTTCGGGCATCTCTTTGAGATTTTTGCCTTCTCTTTTATTAAATAGATGTTTTCTATGGCACCATTTTTATTCCTTTGTCATTTCTTCTATTATTTCTTTTGAATTATTTTCTTAGTGGTTACCTTACAGATTACAATTAAATTAATCAATGTATACTAATCTGATTTGGATTAATTCCAATTTAATTTCAATATTATACAAAAACTTTGCTCCCATATAGCTCCTTTCCCTCCTTCCTTCTTTGAGCTGCTGTTGCCATACAGATTACATCTTAATACTTTGCATGCTTGTCAACACAGATTTATAATGATCGCATTATGCAGTTGTCTTTTAAATTAGGCAAAAAAGATCTTCAACTAATATTTACTAATCATGGGTTGTTGGGCAATTGGTTTTACCTCTCTAATCTTGGCTTTCCTCATCTGTAGAATGCAAATCATGGTATTATCTACTTCATGGTTGCTGTGAGGATTAAATGGGATAATGTGTGTAATGGATTTGAAAGAGTGCCTAGCATATACTGAGTGCTCAATAAATGGTAGCTGTGGTTATCAGCTACTCTTGACTTCTGCCGTCATGCCTTTGCTCATGCTGTTCCATCTTTTTGTAATCACCTCTTTCCAATCCTCCAATGCCAAATTTCTATTCTTTTTTATGTCCCAGCTCAAATGCTACCACTTCCATGTTCTGGAATTTTATAGTGTCTATTATCATTACTATAATACTTATCACAGTGTTCCTTAGATTGGAGTTATTTGTGATATGCCTTATCTTACTGTGCATTCTAAAACTCCTGAGGGTGAGTACCATGTCTTATTCATTTCTGTATCTTTCACAGCTTGTAACCAAGTGCCCTATATGGAGTATAAGTGCCTTCTATGGAGTAAGCACTCAGTAAATATCTACTGTATGATTGAATCAAGTGAATAATTTAAAAATGCAAAACAGATTCAGTTTCTTAGTTCTGTTAGTAGAATTGAGTACAATTTTAAAGCAATAAACCAGGCATGATACGAAGGACATATTTCCCTCAAGTGGTTTAGGGGCTCTTTTAGGTAGATGGGAGAGAGAATTGTAAGGTACTGGCATTCTTATTTCTTAGAACATAGTAGGTTGAAAGAGAAGTTCAGTGCCTCATGGTATATCAATGTGCAAGTAGCTCATGTGGTGCCATAAATGGGCAGTGTAAAAATGGTTTTAAATTTAAAAGAAGAAGCATTTAGGCTAATGAACATAGATGTTCCCTAAAAGAAATTGAAGAAAGTAAGATTATTAAACCATATACTTTTCCTTCATGTAACCCCAAAAGTGGTAGGTAGGAAAAGGCAGAGGTAGCCTAGTTTGATGGGCATGTACCCAAACTTTACAATTAGAGACAAGCAAGTCTGAATTCCAGCACTTACTATTAGGCTCTCGGTATTAGGTAAGTGACTTTGGGGGAAATCCTATAACCTTCCTGATTGTCCATTTCCTTGCCGGGTAATGCCTTTGTCACAGAGTCGTTTAGAGAAATAAATGAACTAATAGATTGTGAAATTTTCTGAGCTATAACCTACTTTTGATCACTCTTTTCTTCCGTATTCCTACTGCTCTGTGTTTATCATCTGCTATAGTATTTCCCATGTTGTATTGTAATTTATTTGTTTATCTCTGTCCCCCACTAGACTGAGCTTTTCAGAGCAAGGGTTCTTATTTATCTTTGAACACCAGGGCCTAACACATAGGTACTCAATAAATGTTTGATGAATGTGTGAATAAATGTTTCAGGTAGGAGATGAACCCAGATGACCTCTTAAATTTCCTTTTAGTTTTGCTGTTTAAGATTCCATGAAAAGGTCTAGAAATAGAGATCAACAAAGGAAGAACTATTTAGAATATAAAAACTTGAAACTGAAGGGCAGTTACAGAATTGTTAAACACATATTAACATTCTAGAGTGTACTTTCAAGAGGGAAATTGTTGAGACGGGTTAATTGAGTTTATGTATAAGAAGGGAGGTTATGATTTGTCAAGTGAGAAATAATTTTTCTGGCCATGGAATGATAACAGCTGAAATGAATCTCTCAAAAGCTAGGAAATTTGGCAGAAGAATATTGTGGCTGAACAAATTCATTAGAGCAGAAAGGTAGAAACATTTGAAGAAGTATGGTTAAATCATAGGAAACCAGATTCCCTTATTAAGATGCCAGAAACTAATGAGACCTAAGGTGGAGGTTTACTGTTGTTGCATTTATTGTTGTTTGAAAGAGCTTCGAACCATGTCTCTGGCAGGAGCATGTGTGAGCCTTTAAAAAGCACAATAGAGGTACCTACTAACATAGGTTTTAGTAGGGAGAAGAGCTCGTACACACAGTGGGGAGGGTGGAGCAGAAATAGTAACATGAAGGAAGAAATGGCTGAAGTTGGTTTATAATGAGAGATGAGGAACATCCAAAAAAAATTATCTTGAATAAGAAATTGGAGAACGGTGGCAGATAGGAAGGCAGCATTATGTCCTAGAATTGGAATGGACCTTGAGAGAACTTCCAACTAAAGAATTAACCAGAGCCTTAGCTGGTGCGTCATGATGTGGCTGATGCCACATTCCCTCTCTCTGGTCTTTGACAAAATGTCTGGGGGAAGAGAAGATAGACCTGATTGGCAGGGTGGGTTCCCACCATAGAGGCCTTAGGATGGCACAGTGGCATGGAAACAGCTTGCTCGTGAAGAATCACACACACCTGAATTAGAATCCCAGCTCTGCCTCTTATCCGCTGTCTGACCTTGAGCAAATTACCTAATACCCCTAAAAGACATGAAGAACTCTGTCTATTCAAGTGACTCCTATTTCTCATGTGCCTGGGTTGTTCATCTAATTTTTCTTTCTTTGTTTTTGACCTATTCAATTTTTCCTTTTTTCCTCCAGTTTTATTGAGAACTAATTGACATCCATCACTCTATAAGTTTAAGGCATACAGCATGATGGTTCAATTTACATATACTGTGCACTGATGACCACAATAGGTTCAGCTCACATCTGTCCTCTCCTATAGCTACAATAAAAGGCAAATAAAGAAGAAAAAGGAAAAAAAATCTCTCCTTGTGATGAGAACTCTTAGGATTTACACTCTTAACTTCCCTATCTATCTATCACGCAGCAGCATTAGCGGAAGCCATCATGTTGTACATTAGTCCTTCATACGTACCTTTTGACCACCTTCTTCCCCCCACCCTGGCCCCAGTTAGCCACAAGTCCGATTTCTTTTTCTATGAGTTTGGTTTGCCTTTTTTTTTTTTTTTTTTAAGATTTATTTATTTATTTGAGAGAGAAAGAGAGCGAGCAGGGTATGGGCAGAGGGAGAGGAAGAGAATCCCAAGCAGACTCGCCATTGAGCGCAGAGCCCTCAGTCTCATGACCCTGAGATCACGACCCGAGTGGAAACCAAGAGTCAGATGCTAAACCGACTGAGCCACCCAGGTGCCCCGAGTTTGGGTTGCTTTTGTTTTTGCTTTAGATTCCACGTGTAAGTGAGATCATATGGTATTTGTCTTTCTCTTATTTCAGTTAACATAATGTCTTCAAAGTCCACCCATGTTGTCACAAATGATAGGATTTCCTCCATTTTTAGGCTGAATAATATTCCAGTGTATATATACACCGCAACTTCTTTATCCACTCATGTTTCGATGGGCACTTAAGGTGTTTTCATTTCTTCTCCTCCTCCTCCTCATCCTCTTCCTCCTAACGCTGCTTTCTAAGACATACTATTAGCTTTATGTTCTAACCCTTTTACTGAGGTTTTTATTCCCCTTGTCGTATTTCTAATTCCAAATAGCTCTTTTATTTCTCACCAGTCCTTAAAGTGTCATCTTACTTCATGGCTGCAGTGGCTCTTCTAATCTCTTTGTGGATGTCAATCATAGATTTTCCTTTCTAGAGTTTTCCTCTGAGCTGCAGGGACCTTCTCTAAGAGGCTAGACCCTCCAGTCTTCTGCTGGGGTCGGGAAGGGAAGGTCTTTGGCTCTGCGGTGCAGGGGAGGGAATCTGCAGGTCTGTGAGCGTCTTGCGCTGACTTTCAACCAGTCCTGGTTTTGGCCACTCCTTCCCTCCCACTCACAGGGGTACCTGGCGCTACATATCCCTGAACCTTTTCTGGAGTTCTGTGGTATAACCTGAGTGGCCTCTCAACTTTTCCTACAGATGTCTTGGGATACAGTTTTCCCAGTTGTACTAACTCAGTTACTACTTGTCCATCTGCTGTTTGCTTTCCAAAATTTGTTGCTAATGTCTTCTCTCCTGTATCCCCCATCCTTGTGTATTTGTGCCCTTTTAAAGTTCCTTTACTATCATTTTATCGGAGTTTTGAGGAGGCAGCAGAACTAAATGTGTGATTTCAATCTGCCGTCTTTAACCAGAAGTCTCTCAGTGCTTCATGTCTTTTATATACATCATTTACATTTTAACCATCACCACCTTATACAGATTCGTACCACTTTGTATCTGGTCTCCTTGTCTCTAGTTTCTCTTCCCTTAGGGCTGTTCTTCGCCACGCTGCAGACTCATCTGCCTGGAAGGCTGCGCTGTGTACCCCAGAGCTTTGAGTGTAAAACCCCTTCAGCTGCCTCCTGATGCTGCCAGGAGCAAGTCTACCTTCCTTACCCTGACATTCAAGGCCTTCCACAATCTAGCCTCTGCCCACTTCTTCACCCTCATTTTTAGGCTTTCAGAAGCACTCACATCCATACCCACATTCACCTGTAGCTTTGACCAAGCTTATCTGGAACCAGTAGGGGCACAATAGCTGGGCTTGCCTGGTGATTTATCCAGTAGATTCAGCAGCTGACCTGTTGATTTTGAGTGACTGATTTAAAGCTCTTGTGTTAAGTGAACACTTGTTGGACTTGAGACTCATAGCCCATTTCAGTCTGGAATTCTGTTTTCAGTATATGCATGTTCTTAATTGTGTTCCCTATATTGCACATTGAGTTTTTCCGTGGTATATTACTCTACACCTTACTTATTTTCTGCTAGACTCTGGAGGTGCGAAGATGAGTAGGATGTAGAAATGATGTCTTATAATAAACTGCTGCCTTATTATATGGTATTGGGTTTAAGCCCCGGCTCAGTGGCTGGGTTTCCACAGTGAGACTTCATATTCTTCTAGGGTTTAGCCTTGTCATTTATTATATCCTTCCCACCAAAAGAATGTTCTGACATTCACATCAAGTATGATTATAACATTTTCCTGAAAGCATATTGTTTCCTGATGATGTTTTTTTCTCCCTAGTGTCGTCTTTGTCGACCTTTTCTTTATGAACCTGATTCTTTGGGTGGAAGGGTCATCGGCTGCAATCTCCTTTGGTACCCTGATAGGTATCCTTGCGATGTGGTTTGGAATTTCAGTACCATTAACATTTTTGGGTGCATACTTTGGAAGCAAGAAAAAGGTAAATTTGTAAAATACTGCTGTTGGCCATTGACTAATGTCTGAAATAATACCTCAATGTGTATATTACTATATATAGAATGCGAAATGTACCATTGGCAAAAACTACAAAGGATAATCATTTTGGAATAAAATATTTTTAAAAATTTTTAAAAATGAAACACAGTAATACTTCAAAAGACACTATTTAGGGCGCCTGGGTGGCTCAGTTGGTTGGGTGACTGCCTTCGGCTCAGGTCATGATCCTGGAGTCCCGGGATCGAGTCCCGCATCAGGCTCCCTGCTCGGCAGGGAGTCTGCTTCTCCCTCTG